GGCTAATGAGTTTGCAAGCCAAAAAGGCTAATGAGTTTGCAAGCCAAACTGTGCGAAGCCACACGGGCCAATGAGTTTCCAAGTAGGACAGGCCCCGCCCGCCCCTTTCGTGTAACCCATGAATTGGTTATTCGGTGGAAGCTCAGGGCTTTCCTTCTTGGTCGGCCAATTGTGCGACAGAGAGGAGAACCAAAGCGCGTCACATTGTTCTGCATTCTCACTGATTGGCCTGTACCTCCTTCCAGGGACATTCTTCGCCAGAAAAATTGCTGCAAGTTCCTCTGGGCTCATTGCCTGAAGTTGGCTCTGAGGATGGCAAGTTCAGAATCAACAGCAACTTTGTCTGCAAATCCGAACTTCAGCTCAGTCTGCCTCAGCCAACTGCCTTCACGAGGTCCAATGAACTGAACTGCTGTCGAGTTTTCAGCATATGGCTTTTCAAGGCCACATGTTGCATCGTAGGCAGCAGCGATAAAGTTGTCAGGCGAAGCCTGGCCGCAGCGATTGGAGATGACCAGAGCCTTTGCTAGTACTCTATCCAGGTCTGTGTAGAGGCAGTGAGCTGCCCGAACATCATCCAGGACATCCAGCTTGTAACCTACATGCAGCAAAGACTAAAGCCAAACCAATACTTCGTGCTGCTTGCAAGAGAGAAGTAAGCCGGATCAACACAAGTCTGCACTTCACACCTGCGAAGGAGACTTCTGGCGCCAACTCAAACTTTGGAGTCAGCAAGGAATCTTCATACCGAGCGAGGAAGGTAGGAGTGATCGTATGCGTTGAAACGCGGACTTCCAACGCGCATTCTGGCAGTTGGTGCCGAACGTAGGGGTTTCCTGTGACCCCGAGTTCTCACTCTTTAGAGTTGGAATCTTCGCTGGATCTGAAGGATCAGCTCTTTCGATGTCCAAAGCAGGGCATCGATGGGTGTTGGTCTGTTTCCGGAGGTCTGCCTGTTTTAATGAACATCCGTATCATCACCGGTTGCCTGGAACAGACTGGAACGTAGAATCATCACCGTTGACCATGACGTAACAAGCGCAGAACATGGACGTGCAAACATGTGAACAACGCAACCATGGCCTGGTCACTCATCAAACGCAAGCGACCACCCATGCCTGATGTCTTGGAACCACTCCACAGGGTTCTCAGCATAAACCTCACCAGCACACAGCGCGAGACATGTGGCACAGAGTGCGCGCGAAGAAGGAATGAAAAACGTGGATCGGGTGTATTTGATGGCTGGGTAACCTATCCACATCCCAAAGGTTCTAAAGTCGATTCTCCTTCTCCTTATCAAACGCAATTTTATACAATCAGGGCAGATGTGAAATCGCACAAACGTTGTTCATACAATATGCTATGATAATCACCTGAATCAGCTTTGCTATTGGTTTCTCCACACCATCAAAAAGCTGTCCTAGCAGTACCTGCGATGCTCTTAATGTGGAGCCTCTTTTTCATCAGTGACCATAAGAGGGAAACTGGGCGGGCCATACTGGTTTGTAATTTGAACACACTCTAAAAAAGTGGATTCAATCATCCCAAGTAAATGTTGAACATCAACACATCTCAAACCACCACCTGTTGCTGTGCTGGTTAATCACCAGGGTGACCAAAACATACCAACTCCGCTGTTTTCTGGCTTCATTTGGACTCTTCAACACTCACCCCTTCAGCCGTTTTCCTGCAACATGAAAGTGGTGAGCCTTTTTTCCACCTCTTCCCGTTGAGTGGAGACACCAATGCCCCCAAATAAAATTAGCTTTGCAGCTTATCCACTGAACTCCTGGATAGGAACCCTCGTCCTCATTCCCAACATCGACCCAAAACTGAGTCAAAAACACCTTCGACCCGAAAAACGGCTTCGTTCGGTCCAGGCGCGATGAACTCTCGGTGGTTCATGTAGAGCACTGGAAGCTCAAAGATCTCGGCCGAGCCGCGGACAACACTGGAGATCTACACCACCGGTTTGGTAGAGATCTCCCGCGTGGATTCGGCAGATTCGGTGTGTGAAGGTCGTCGCGAGAGGGAAAGAAAGGGCCTCAAATCCTGGAAGTAGGTGGGTGTTCATGCATCCTGATGCACGGTCAATTGTTTTCAAGGGGATGACATATATACCTTAACCATCCTTAAGCTGCAAATAGGAGGCTTGAGGTTCTTGCGCCCTACACGTGCCCAGAATTCCTCGACCTGTGATTCCTTCAGGCCGGATGCCTCGGTACACAGAACTATACGAATGGGCGGGGGACCTCGGTTGACCAGCGAAAATAAACCAAATAGGTCAACTACTACTAGATGTGAATGGACCAAATAGACTAGTCTGCTACTAATGAGGTCAACTACCAGGGTTTGGAGCCCCCGTTGATGTCGTCTCATGACTGTGGTAGTCATGCACCCTCGGGGTGACTAGTGCTCGGAACAATGTGATTTTGAGCAAGCAAGCTCACGCCCCCTCAAACCATACGTGCAGTTTGGTGACTTTCCTTCATCTCTGGCGCCATAAGAAAACCCACAGGGCGGCCAGGTGCATCGCCTTCAAGCTAGCCTTTCTCTGCTCAAACACGACAGGAACCCCATGGCATCTGATTCTCCTTCGGCCCACCGGGCAGCCGTGCCAGGCCGAAGGCTGCCAGCCCAGTACAGACCTGCCGACGCCGAGGCCAGGCCGCCGACCGAGGAAGGTCAGCGCCCTGCCGAGATCAGAAATCCAAATGTCCAAGATCCAAAGGTCCAGAACAAGACGAAGAGACATCCAGGCATCTAAACAAAAACACAAAACTGAGCTGGGAGACAAAAACTATCAAAAACTCGAAGTCAGGCGCGACATTGACATAGACATCACACATGGACTATGACGGCTCAAGGAGTGTCAGTTGATGCAGTTTGCCTTTGTATCAACCCCTCAACAAGCATCCAAAGATACGAGCAACTCCATGGCGAAGTCGCTCTGATGAAACATTCAATGCTCGGGGTAAGCATGGTTGGGACCTACTTTCCAACTAGGAAACCCGCAACCAAGCAGGCACCACATGTACAGGTAATATGTAGGGTAGAACTGCACTCAAAAGGACACATGCCTGTATCAGCTGCTTAGTTTGCAGGCTACCTGCTTCCCATGGGCAACAAGTCTGACTGCTGCTTCATCCACTTCCGAACATCTGACCTCGAACCTGACTTCCAAACCCACTTCTTGCGTCCTGCATTCTTGGGATTTGTCAGCTTGGCCCCCCACTTCTTGCAGTCTTGGCCCCCCAAAGCCTCCCCAGCGTAGACCCCCGTGGACCGGCTGGATTGGTTTCTGAGTTGGTGGATGGACCGAGAGGGTAGCTGCTTGGTGGATGGGCCATCTTCCATGGATTGAAAGGACAGAAGAAAGCCAAGAAAGCACCACTTGTAGAGCTGATAGCTCTGCTTTCTTCAACAAAATCCACACGTGGATCTTTTGGCATGGAAAAAACGAGAAGAAGGACAGCTGTGAATGGAGCTGGTGACCTCCTTCCTGGACTTGGAGTTGCTTGACTCTCTCAAATGGCCTCTTACCTCTTTTTCGGCCCCAAGTGACGAATCCTCTAAGCAACCCTTGTGCAGCTTGAAGCGGCTAAGTGTTGGTGGAGGTCTCGCATTCAGGGTACCCTCTACCACCATAGGCACCAACAACTGGCCCATGATCATCCTGATTTATGGCGCAACACAAATCAATTAAGCCGTTGTGCCACACGGGTTTAGCGGCCAAGATACCTTCATTCGTAAGGCGCAGCCAAAGGCGAATGCCGCCACCAAATGATGCCTCGTGGAACGTACAGTGCGAACGTCGCCCACCTTCGTCAGCTCCTTTTGGAGGTTAGTGGTATCCATGCACAGGGAATGTCCCTCCATGGTATCAATTTCTACAGGGAATGTCCAGGGGTTAGGGGATACTGATCCAAGGTAGGGAGGCTATTCAAACTCGCCGAATTCTCCGCCGCTTTGGCGCCCGAGGGGCCGTACGGCGAACACCTACCCAATGGCCGGATCGAGAAGAGTCACTTGGGGGAATTGACTTCTTGTTCATCATGGATGATGAAGCTTGCTGATGCCCTCTCTTTTCTAGCAAAATGCAGGAAAAACACGATGAGATGGCTGGGAAACTGTCTTCTTTCAATTTCAGCTGGGGATAGGAAACCTTGGAGATGATCGAACATCATCTGCAGCTGCACTTCTGTTTGCAACCTTGCCGGACATTGTTCAATCCGAGACGAACAAATCCCTACTCTGTCGCTGGTGGGGCTGAGCTGGTGGTAAGTGCTTTGAAACTATATATTTCATTATATTTCATTATATATACCTGTATTACAGTGGGCATAGCCTCGGTACCATTCTCTGGCGACTCCTGAACATCGACTCTTGTCTTTGAATGTCTTTGAGAGTTTCAACACAAACTAGGGGCCCTGTGCGGACTTGTGGCAAAATAAGAGGATCTTCTTTGGTTGACTGAAACCCCGTGCCCATGGCGAAATTCATGAATATGGGGAACTGTAACCATTGGAACTGCCCACGGTTGCTGCAAGTTGCTTGATCTTCTCACAATTGGTGATAACAGGTTGGTCCCCTTCTAGCGATGCAAAATAAGGTATAGCTGAACAGGCCAACGGGCTCATCAAGCCCTTGGAGGAGATACGGGTACTACAACAAGGCACATGCTGATTCAACTGCATACAAACACCACCACATCTAGGTCACATTCATATTTTGAAGAGTGGTTCCTTCCCCTCCTTGTAGCTATCCAGGATGGCTTGGGTGGTTCAGGCGGCATTGGCACCAAACCATCTCCACACGGTTCCCCACGCCGCTGAGCCACACGAGGTAGGCTTGCCAAAGGAAATAGCTCGGATCGCCACCGTCTGGGCGCGAGTTTGCAAACAGCGAAGTCGCAAAGACTACTGCAAATCAATACCGGAGGGGACTTTGATTGACCTCAACATGAACAATGGACTGGGAAACCAACTGGCTGTGGTTTGGGCTTTCTAGCTGTTAATCAAAGTTTTATTGATCCATATGAATCTATGGATGGTTGATGGGGACCCGCTATATTGAGATGCCCCACTTGCTGGAGGTTCAAGACAGGGTACCCATCCGAAGATAAAGCATCGTACCAAACATAACAATCAAACCTTGGAGGATTTTTCCAAAACCAGCACTTTTCAGTCATTGGAGAGTCGATTCTGCTCACCAAGTTGAACAAATGAAAGCATGTGCTCAGTTAGGGAAAAAGACTAGAAATTGAAGGGGGTTAAAGGATGTTAAAGGTATTTGACGTCTTCATCTACTTTCGTACGTGATATACTGAACACCCAAATACTGGCGCGGCTGTTGTTTTCCAAGCTCCCGACGAATGGTTCTTAAGGTAGTGGTTATAAGGACAGGTGTCTGATTCAGGTTCTCATCGGCGCGTTTGGGTAATTCGCTGCTACTTAATGAAAATGACAAGGACTCCGGGATATCAAGGAATAACCACCACAATCTATTGATGGGGAGGGTTACCGCAAGATATGCAATGGAGTGGATGACCCTCTGTCGGGTCGGTACACGGCGGGGGGTGTCAGAACACTTGGTACCCGTAGTGTACAGTTGGGGGGTGTGCGGACGTAAGGGAGCACGTTACGGCAACCTAACGAAATGCACGAAGCACGAATGCGACGGCACGGCGGGCGAAGCGACCGACGTGCGCGAAAGCTGAAACAAACGCGGACGCGCCTGTTTCTTGAGCCAATAGCGCGTCGGTATGACGCTGTTTGTTCACCTGTACAATCAACACATAACATGACAAGTTAGGGGTCACGTTTGTTCGTGTTTTCTTGACTCACCCCTCGCCGTTTTGGCGTGTCATGTGTTGCTGTACATGCGTTAATTACCGCGCATTGAGCAGCGGCTTTGGCGCCTACATCGGCTCCTAACGAAAAGCTTCGATCCCTGAGGGATGGCTTTGGCTCGCGTATGTCAGTACGTATGCCTAGGAGGCATAAAGCTTTGTACCACTTTTGTGGTGGTAGTGCTTTAGTAAAGATGTCGGCGGCCTGTTCGTTGGTGTCGATGTATTGCACATTGATGCATGGGTCATCGAGACACTCTTTTAGGGACGAGAGGTTAATCTTGTGTGTGCGGCCGATATGTCGAAGTTTGGGGGAATACCCCTTACGAACGACTATAATGGTGGCTTGGTTGTCCTCGTGGATAACCAGGTCCACCGGCCTCTGCAAGAGCTTCTCCCAGAGCTGGAGGGCAGGTATGCCCTCCTGGTACAAAGAGTGTGCCAAACTTACCACTTCTGACTCCGTGGTGGAGCGTGAAGTGGATGTCTGTCTTTTCGAGATCCACGCAAGTGGGAAAAAGGTGTTAGGACCTTTTAGTGCTAGGAAGCCGCCTGAGGTTGACTTCACGTCACCGGAATCGCCTCCGAAATCCGCATCGACGTACAGCTCAAGCCTGAGATCCTTCGGATCGTCTTGGCAAGAGGCGGTCAGTCTGTAGTCTAACGAGTATTGGAGGTATTGGATTAGCCTTAATAACTTCTTATCGTGCACTCGGGTCCAGGCTTGGACCTTAGTTGCTAAGTCGTTAATGGGCTTAAGGATATCCGGTCTAGACAGGCGGGCCAACCAAAGGGCCTTCATTAGTATTGAACATGCTTTGGGGGCGAGTTCTCCAGGAGAGTCCTCGTCCTCCTTTGACCATGTTCCGTCAGGGATGAAGGGAGTTTGTGCAGACTTGATTTTATCGACTTTAGCTACGCTTTTATAAAGGTCTATGGTTTGTTGGGCATAGTCCTTCATGTCGAAAATCAATGCATCTGGAGCCGCGCCTAAAGCAGCGTTCTCTTCACCCTGAACTTTATTGAAACTGGCGTAAACATGATTTCTTCCGAGGATTCTGTAGATGGTTTCGGGAGGCTCTACGTTGACTTCTGACATTAATTGCTTCCAGAACGGAGCGTGGTGCTCGCATGGTCCGGATAATGTCAAGTCGTCTACATACGTAGATAGCATGAGGCCCGTTCCTTTGAAATAAAAATTTCCGGGGTACTCAGGAATCTCCTCACCGTTCATCTTCTTCAAAATCCCCTTTAGGTGGTATTCCCACATTCCGCCTGCATCGGGGTGTCCATACAGCGCTCTCACAAGAAGTACAACTGGGCGGGTGAATTTTCCCTTCCACCACTCCGGACGGAGTTCTGGTGGAAGCTCGATCCATGTTTTATACTTACTCTTGAGAAAGGCTTGGACGTACGCTTTCACGGCGTCTGCCGCCGTGCATGCGTGCCCCGGCAGGGAGCCGTAGGCTAGGCAGGCGTTTAAGCCCTGTACGGATGTTGGGTTTGCACCCAACTCTTCGTAGACGGCGGCGACGCCGTTCTCGTCGCGTGCACAATCGCCGCGATATACTATTCGCCCCTTCATTTTGTGAAGGTGTTCAGCTAATTCCCAAAATTTAATTGAGGCGATAGTCATTAAGCGGCCAAAGTGTACGGACACTTTGCTAGCCTTTGCTTCAGCCTTAACTGCATCGTACTCTTCAACGGAAGCAAGATCCCATGTACCGATGTCGGTGAGGGATGTCGCTTCCTCCTTAACTTTTTCAACGGCTTTGGGGTTTGCCAACATCTCTGCTCTAGAGAGCAACTTAGTTACCATGGCATGAACCTTACCGTGATGTTTAGGACCTTCAGGAATATCAAATGCAGTTCGAACGAGAGTCTCAAGCTCCATCAGGCATTCTGCCATCTGGCTTGCAACTTCATCGGTTTCGACGGCTAATGCGAATGCATCGGCTCCTGCAAGTGCGGAGATGTGCTTTAAGGATTGCTCTTTTACCCTGTGCTCCTCATCCCGCGCCTGAGAGGCAGCGGCTGGGACTACGCATGGCATGGCTGGTGCTGGAGCTAGATTGACCTTCTGTGGGTATAAAGCTCTGGCTATTTCACATACCATTTGTGGAGGGTAAAAGGCGGTCTTTGCAGTCTGAGACCCAACTGCGTGATCATGTTCGTGTGGGGAATGCGTGCACTTATGCTGCGAAAATGCATCTACGATGCGTTGGCTTGTGGTCATGAGCCTCCATGTCTTCTTAATAGGTCTATCCTTAGTGGATTTAACTCCTACTGCACAACCATCAAACTCGACCTGTTGGAATTCTGGATGTGACTCAAAGAAGGTCTGGACGTCGTGACGGCTCCAACTCTCGCAGCCCTTTGGCCATTCAAAGGTTACAGTGCCCCCCCCTGCTAAGGACAATCCCTGCGCTTCTCTCGAACTCAGCAAAGAGTCGCTTGGATTCACGAATCTGCTGTGCATGGACGCGGGCGAATCGTGCACCTCCTTTGGACCTGTTGACCCTTTGCCATGGGGAACCTGACGTGCAGGGTATTGATGCCCACAGGTCTGGCACCTCCTCGCAGGTCTCCAAATGGTTATGGAGCTGGTCCTGCATGTCGGTGTTGGTCAGGTCGAGGTGTTCCTTGCTTAGGGGTACATGTGGGATCCCGAGTTCTAAAAATGTTTTGTGCATTTGAGAATCGGGGGCGCACGCAAACTCGAACATGCAGCGGTTGAACTTGGGTGGTCTCTTTCTACCTCTACTTCTCTTTTTCTTAACTTGACCTACTTGTGAGGCTTCGGTCATTGCTGGCACTCCAAAGACGGGCACACCACTTTGGGGTCTAGTATAGACTAGTTGGGTTCTATACGTGGTGTGCGGGGTTATCGAAAGGCCGGCTATTACTGTCGGTGTAGCGCTGGCTTCCTCTGGCTCCTCCGGCGGAGGGTCCGCCGGAGGTGGAGGAGGCGGGTCTTCCGGGGCTACAGGAGGGATCTCCTCAACAGTGATCCCCTCCCCTCGCTTAGTCAAAAGATCGGCCTTTTCCTCTTCGACAAGGCGTGCAAAGCGTTTTCGGCATTCAGCTGTGTGATGACGAGTCTTGCGCTCACAGGCCTTGCAGCCAGGCGTTTCGCTGAATCGGATTACTCGATCTAGTGTTATGTACACACTTCGGGACTTGGACCCTGCGGGCGTCGGCGGCGCAGCGCCTTCGCCTTCTTCCCCAAAAGGAACCTCCTTCGTGGGATAGTCCGGCATGTCTACTTTGGCAATGTCGTCCAAAATGCCTAATGAACCACCATGGAGATGCCGCAACTTTGTTGATGCCATGGGAAAAATGGGTGGTCCCTCCTCTGTGTAGATTTCTGCCTCAGGCACATCTAGCACATTGGGGTGCTTGCTAACTTTAAAATCCATGTAATCCATGATTCTGGCCACATAACGGTAACGAAAACCCGACTCGATGCGCCATCCCATGAAGAGACCAGGCGACATGTTTGGATCGAGAGTTCTTTTGCCTACCTTGCGATCTCGGTAATACACTAGTTGACCGAAGCATCTGCGAATGCCATCAAACTTAGACCTAGTGAGGGCTTCCCATTGCGTCTTGGCCGGGTCTGACAACGAAGGACGATCAAACGACATCGACATGCAGGCATATGGAAACGAGTATGTGTGAAACTCATAAGGCAACCCGGATTGCATATGAATTGCACGGCAACACTCTTTCTCCTCACGAATGTCTCGCTCTAGCGTGGCGTTATGCGGCCACCTATTAGGGAGTGAGACCTCGGGGAGCAAGCCTACTTCGTGTGCGGCTTGTTCCAGCTCGCCTGCTTCGTCCATTTTGATAAGGACACACGATGCTAGTTCGTTTGCTCTTAGCCCCAGGAAATGTCTAAAGTTCTTGGCGTGATTGCTAGCTGTCCTGTTTACCATGGGATAGGCTATCCTAGCTCCGGAAAACGTGTCCCTGACTATGTGGAAAACCTTGGTCCCACCCGTCCCCTTGTCAACAAAATCATCCCCT